GATGCTGAATAGAATGTTTGAGATCCGCTTTATTGTATGTTACTTTTACGAGTTCAGGGAACTCCCTTAACAACAATTTATATGGATCACCACGACTTTTATCTATCACAAGGTTCATTGAAACGGCTTCCGTAAGTATTCCTCTTATCGAAGTGGTTTGACTGCCGTTTATGAGTCTGTGTCGTCTAGAGTCTACTAGCAGGTCAAAGTTACATAAGAAATCTATGCCTATTATGGGCATCGATACATCTGCTATGACAAAGTTCCAACGGTATGAAGCGCCACGTCCAAAATCTAGGGACAATTTCCGTTTGCCATATGTCTTAATATCTGATTTGTTTGCTGCTCTTAGCACTAATGACGGATTAATGTTTTTTCTTTCCTCGTTAAATGGAGGTACTACGCTAATTTCCGCTCCAGTGTCAACCAAGAATTGTGCGCCAGTTGTTCGGTCTTGTATATAAAAGAGGCGACTATTTTCAGGCATTATGTGCGTTGATGCCGTTGCCATTGATACTCGTGGGTATCGGTTACTAGCCCTGTTAAATCTACAAGGTTGTAGGCACTTTCTAGCCCTGTAGCCGAACATTTGATGATACCAACATATCGCGGGAGTTGTGCGTCGTCTAGAAGTTGACCGGGTCCTTTCACGCGAGCGATCTCGCGATGACCTTCGTGGCTTTTTTCTCTGCGTTAATTCTGTGAGTTTGCGGCATAAAACATTTATTTTTTTCTGTAGAGTATCAAGTCTATCGTCTACCGTCACGCTGTGTAGTGGAGGGCTTGCTTGCTTGCTTCTTTCGTATATTCTATCGGCTATCTTTGCTATATTGTCTAAATCAGCATCCGTATCTCCCACAGCTAGGATCTGCTGTATATTTGCCGGGAGTCGGCGGAGCCACAGTTGATAAAAGAGATTATTGTCAATGTGTCTATCGCCAAGTAGACTTTTCATATAATTTTTTAGCTGTGATGGGGTTCTATCTCCAATTTGTACTTGATTAAGGAGTTGTTCGACGGCTTGTTGGTCACTGAGAGAGAGAGTTTTAATTATTGCCTCTTTTAGCACGTCGTATGGTTTTTCTGTGTCTGGTTTTGCTAGTGCCTCTCGAACGCTGTCAGCTACTTCGTCTGGGAGTAGTGTGCTTGTCAGGCCGAACTTATCCTTTTGCAAAAGAATGCGGTTAGCGAGAAAATAATTTTCAAGTCTTATAAACCAAAGTTTTGGGTCTGTGATTTTAAAAGAAGGGGCAGGGAGGTTAAGAGACCTCACGGACGAGGCTTGCTGTACGCTTGAAACTGTGTTTTCATAAGATATGCTTATAAAAATTAAGTAGCACACGAAAATAATTTAACAGCCACAAGGAAGAATAGATGGGCAAAAACAATGATAATAAAAAAATGGCACAATTTATAAAATGGAACAGACTTACTAAATTGCACCAATATATCAATTGTTTATGGATAATTGTTATTTATTATGATTATAATCGTCACGTTTAATAATGTTTGCGGAATAATGTAAGTGTAATTAGAATAATAATATAAATCCACAGTTGTAATTATAGTTCATTTGATAATCCAAATTGAGATGAAGGTAGTCGGATTTTTGGAATTTGATTATTTCGCCAAAATTCGCTTCCCGTTCTCACGTCGGGATTACCAATTCTGTAGTGGCTGTGCTTCGATAATTAATCACCCTCGAACCGTTATCGTATAATCTTCAACGATGTTTGAAATCAGAAGGCAAAAAGAAGCAGCTACTACAGTTTATTTAGTAGATAATTCGGACCAGACAGCAGAGAGGCAAAATGAATGAGCAAGCGAACTACGATTGTAGCAGTAGCAAGTAGTTGTAGTAGTAGTAGTAGTGAATGGGTGCAAGTGTACACATATATATGTATAGGAAAATGGATGAGTCAGCGAATAGATTAAGCAGTTAATAATGAAGCTAGCAGAATGAATACATGCGTAGGCGCTAAACAATGTTCAAGCATATGTATTTCATACAAGCATAATAATAAAGATAGTACAACAAGTTGTTATATCATGGATGACTTTGTCCATTAAATAGGTCAACAAAAGACCTTGACTGAACTAAACTCAATTGCACGTGACTCGCTATAAAGTATAACACCGTCGATATTATGGTGGGACTAAGATTTAACATGTACTCACTGGTGTTGATGTTTGTTCCATCAACACATATGTTTTCGAGGACCCTCTTATTTGCTTCACTGTACGTCTTTATTTGTTTATCCGCTTCAGAACGGCTTTTTTTACAGTGCTTCCGACAATTTTTCCACAACCTTGTCAGGATATCACAGGTCACGACGAAATGGTATCGTGGCTATGGTGGAATATAAGTTGTTAACAAACCCTATCAAGTGTTAAAGATCGTAAAAAAAACAATATAACCAAAACGAATAAAGGAAGACGGTAAAAACGAGTAGTATAAGACGTTAAGATATACTAAGACCAGCTTTGATGTGAAAATCATAAAAGGTGAATGGTAAGCTGAGATAAAAACCACAGTTAACTATTAGAAGAGGAGAAAGGTAATCTACCGAGATTTAGGCTCATAACGAATATTTTGTGTCAAATATCGTATTTTTGTTGCGTAAGATCACAGGAAAGGTTTGGGAAGCTGAAATCACGTTAAGACGACTTTCCGATCGTAAACAGTTGAAAATGAGTGGGTCCGCCCTAACCACTATATCATATGTCTGTTAATTCATTCTTATGTTACATTTAACCTTATGTCCTATGAAGGGTCTTCAAAAATGCCTTTTTTTCTCCAAGCCTGCTGTTCTTGGGCAACGATGACGCATAAAGTCTTGTAGCGTGGTGTCGAGTTTAAATTGACTATGAACGCCAATACAAGGAAACGCGTACCAAACAAATCAGAAGGCGTAGGTTGAACGTAACCAGATTTATTTCGTTGGCGATCTCGTGGTATCGAACGAATACCAAGATCGTGCCAAGAAATCGTACAAGCGAAAGCAAGAGAATGGAGTACTTGCGAACAAAGGCAAAAACCGCGGAACAATGATGGAAGGTAATGGAGGCACAAAATGGCTGTAATTGGCACAGTTAAACAAAAGCACATTAAAACAAGCACTGGTACAGTTGCTTATAATAATAATTGTTTTCATTAAACCAGTCGTGTTCTCGTGATAAAAGTGAGTCACTACAGTCTTTAGAAGGGTCAAAAACAATTGACACAAAACTGGTGGTTACACCCGACTAAATTAGCAAATCACGTCAAATACTTATCTTTCATTTCCTATCTACTATTTGATATATGTTCAGAGAAGAAATAGATGCGTTTTTGAATTGGAGTACATGACAGCGATACCTTTGCAATGTCTGCTTTAACTCTCCCCCTGTTTTTGTCCTGTGTCACTAGGAGTAAACAATTACACAAGCTACCAATCAAACAATCAAAGACTGGTTGTAAGATCTGGAATGAGTGCAATCATGTATAAAAAGTCTTTATCAAGCGAAAACATTTGAATCCAGCAGAACTTTAAGGCACCTACACCGGAATCTCTTTTCGAAGTGTTTTTGAAACAACTAAAAAGGACGTTATAGACCCAGTTTCTTTGTGACAAGCCTATATAAACCAACTGACAGCATCGATATGATTCCGGAGCCTTGTTGATGTCATATGTGCGGTAGTCTAGCCACTCATCTTACTTACTTACCTACTTCTGTTACTCCTCATGAAAGAGCATAGGCCGCTCACCGGCATTCTCCATTCAACCCTGTCCTGGGCAATCCTTTCCAGCTATTCCCAGTTTTTATTCATTTTTTTCATGTCTGCTTATGTTTCCCGACGTAATATGTTCTTTGGCCTTCCTCTTTTCCTCTTCCTTTCAGGATTCCAAGTTGGGGCTTGCCTCGTGATGCAGTTTGTTGATTTTCGTAATGTAGCCACTCAGCAGCACTAATTTTAATCACTTTGATAGGTTTTTTGTGGGATGTTGAAGTCGTCAGCTGTCACAATCTAAGGCACCGTAAAAATATAAGGAAAATTCGTATACCAAGAGATACGATTGTCTCACCAGGTAAATAAATAAGCCATCTAATTATTAAAACAAGCATTGTAGATAGACTGAAGTGTAAGAATCAAATAAGTTACGACGATGGTTACAAGTTAGACTGAAATAAGTTAACGGCATGTGGTGATGATAATAGTAAACAGGTTACGAAGCATGGATCAGAGACAACTGGTCAGGGTGAGGGATGATAATCAGTGGGCGACTATGCGTTTGTCGGGTCCTCTCTTGAAATATAATGTTACTTTTGGCCGTCCTAACAATCGACTTCACGAGTATTCAATCCGCAAGCCCCATGTTCGCGAGAGTATGAGTTTGTCTCCGTCGCGACTGATGCAACTATCACTAGGGTAGTTAATCGAGATAGCTAGACCATGCCATGTTGGCCAGATATCAGTGATATGTCACACGATGGGCCGAACAGTGGTCTTGTCCGGACGCTTGACCGGATGACTTCAGCTAGTGGTGTGTCCGGTAAACTTAGTATGGTCAGTACCAGTTTCAGGTTCTCACACAGCCACTAATGTTAATTATTCACCGCTACATAGGCACAAAGCTAGCACTCCACAGACTCCGAGAGTATGGTATCTATTTCAGCAATCAAGAACTGTAAATAAAGTTTTATTTACCCCAACCTTTCTGTCACAATAAAGATATTCATCGTATTTGTGTGGTGAAACATGGGTTTATGGTTAGGTTGAATTATTCCCTATCACCAATAAATCACCTCACATCCTAAGCACTCATATATTACAACTGATATGTAATTCTTAAGTGCTTTTTTTAACGGACTCTCTAATGCTTTCTTAAACCAGAAGCCATGATGGCTCATTTGACTTAGTAAACTCCTAATATCAAAACAGTAACAGACAAAGAAGCCCTGTAGAACTGGATGGATAACTACCAGCATGTAGTCAATCTGTCTATCCGTATGACCGACATGCAACGCACAACCATAATTTAAGTGTAAGACAAATAAGGAAACGTAATTCTGTTTACCATGCCAAAACTTAAGGCGACTAAGTGCATGAAAAGCCACTTACGTTGGCTTAGGATTCCCGAAGTTCGTTTTCATTACAATCTAAGTATTCCAATGTAGTCAAGTGAGAAGTCAGAAATGAATTTGTCCGAAGATGTATTCGGAAGATTATCGATATATCGGATAGCGTTTCATCTAAGCTGGCTATCGGCTGTAGGAGATGTGTGGCATAATGTACCTACTTGTGATCTGGTGTGGATGAGTGACCGAGCCCCTTCAGCCAGGGTGTGTTCGGTAAAAGTAATATGGCCAGCATCAATGAAGAAGAATTAAAGAACTATTTATTTTAGGGGTTTATTTATTTCTACCGTTCACTCATACCCTTGCGGGGTAGTGATGACTCCAATACATGGTTAACCAGGCGTTTAAATCGACGAGTTTGTCTATGGTAGGCATTCTTCTGATTGCTTGCTACGTTCGGCAGCATCCGATCGTCTTTAAATGATACAGTGACCCATGTAATACAATATATCACCGAAAAAATGTACAGTGAAGATATACATTGATTGTATTCTTCGCCATTTTTTTCATATTTTCTGTCTGTCCTGGAAAATAAAAAAGTGAAAGTGCAGGATCATGTCGAAAAACACTCGTATGTGCGTAAGGGTGCAAAACGTGCAAAAAATTTGGTATTCCTGCGTACAAATAATATATCAAGGGTCTACATGAAAGTACTAAACAGACAGCGTAAACCGTATCAGGGGAGGGTTGGTTTACCTTTAGAACAAGTCAACCGTCTACACCTTATCAAAAATACTGGGATAGTTGGTGTATATTGGTGCTTCCCATTATCTAAAACTCATACATTCAACTAAGATGTTCGTCCAGCTAATTTGTAATAAGAATACCGGCTATTAGAGAAATATCGCCTCTGACATCTTTTCCACACTCAAACTTGTTTAATTGTGCTAGATACTCACAACAAGCAACTGACGTTTTTAAAAGCATAGAAACCCTTATCATGAGCGAACTAATACGACTAATCATTCAAAAGCTGAATGACGAGCCATTTAACAGGAGTTTTAACCTAATATCTTTCGATTCGCTTGAACCTGTCCGTCTTCTACAGGTTCTGAATGATGTTCTTAGCGAAATAGATAATAAAGTACTGGGAATTTTCATATTATTAAAGTTTTTATCCAGCATAAAATCGATATCAGGGAGGAGCCTCCTGATAAGATGGCTGTCAGAATGTTTGAAGCTTTTAGGGTGTTTAGGTATAAATTACCAACCGATCCAGAAAAGCTGTAAGTATATATATAGGTCTGTTATATTTTTAAAAAAAGGAGCTTATTTCGCCAGGGTTTAGTGACTGGAGATAAAATTATCATATACCCTATTTTGGAGTGGCTTCTCACTAGAATGTCTGAGTTGAAAAAGCGTGCATATTTAGCCCAATATCTTGTTAAAGTCAGTATTCCCGTGGATTTTATGCAGGATGAGGAAATAGCAGGACTTTATCAACAAGTAAGCTGGATAAAAAATTTTTCTAATGCAGCTGAAGTATGAAAACTCGATTGAAAACTTCAAAGAATCTCATAAAAAGTTTGAAAGCGTTAAAAATGGCGGACTTACGACTGCAGAAGTGAAGAAAGATATTTCCGCGATGCAAGAAGAAAAGGACCAGTTACTCAGACGAGTAGAAAGAATGAAAAAGAAGGTGAGCTGGAAAATATAACTGTTATAATTGAAGAAAACTGTCACGTTCCTATCTAGTTCGTTAATGATGTGCATGCTGCTAATATTTTTGTGCAGATTTATTCTCTGTCTATTAATTTAGCCCATATTCAGTCTTCAGTCTTCAGTAATAAGGATAGTAGGTTGGTGAACCTGTGTTAATCCTGACAGATTGTCTTCCAGTGAAGGTCCAGCTCCCACTTGAAAAGACCATTCACTGATTTTGTTCCCACGCGCTGAACACGCTCAAGTGAGTTAGTATCCTTTACCAGACATGGGCTAGCTGCTTGGATGCAGTACTTTGAATGTGGTCTTACATAGGTGGGATGTAAAATTCGAATCATTTCCTCGTCAAAGCATTTGAATGCTCGGCGAGGTGACCATATCGCAGAAAAACCTTTGACAGCAGCTGCGTTGCAATGCATAGTTGTTTTCAAGTCATAGCTTATTATTACTCCTAAGTCTTTATGTTCTTGAACGCATGGAAGAGTTTTACCATCAATAGTATAATGTTAACTATTACCGTGACCGATGTGCATCAGCACACTCTTCCTAGAATTAATTTCTAAACCCCAACCTCGGTCCCATCTAATTAATTCGTTTAAGTCAACTTGGAGATCTAAATGATCAGCCTCACTTTTTATTGTTCTCCAGATTTCTACGTTATCCGCAAACAATAATGTCGACGACCTAAGCAACAGCAGTAACTCGTCAACGTAGAGAAGGAAGAGCAGAGGGCCTAAGATGGTGCCTTGGGGTACACTACTTTTGACCGGCTTCTAATCGGATAGCGTTCCATTGACCCTCGCTCTCAGTCTGTAGTCACATAAGAAGCTTCCAATCCACTCCTGTACAGTACCTATTATTCCGAAGCTCGTGAGCTTCTGCATAATACCCAAGTGTGAAACCTTGTCAAAAGCTTTGCTAAAATCTGTGAATATCACATCGATAGACAGGCCTTTACCTAAGGCTGCTGTCCAATCCTCTCTCGTAATAAGTAAGTTAGTCAAGCATAAACGCCGGTTACGAAATCCGTGTTGCTCAGGAGCTAACAGATTGTGTAAATCTATGTGGCTTAGCAACCTAACCTGAATTATCTTTTCAAGTAACTTAACGACTATGCTGGTTAGACTGACAGGCCGATAGTTAGATACGATCTGTCTCTGACCATCCTGAAATATAGGACTGACTATAGCGTCTTTTCAATCTCTTGGGAGTTGAGCGAGTGAAAGGGACATGCTGAAGAGTGTCCCGAGAGGTTTTGAAATAATGTCCGCAAGAGATGACAGCAGCCGTGGATGTAACCTGTCAGATCCCGGTATCTTACCAGGTTTGAGGTTAGTTATCAATGGAAGGACAGTTTCCTCAGTCACCAGTGTGTCAGTCTAACATATCAAAAATTAGCAAATTAAGGCAAAAGATAATCGAACGACGTTGCTTCCTTCTGGGTTCCGACTTGGATTTTATTTGCGGTTAAAACTATATACGTATGTATGAAATACTGTACAAACCTAAGAGGTTTGTTATTTACTGATAACAATAATGAGGATCTCATGGTCATTCGAAATAGGTAAAATCCATGTACTATGGTAGCAAACTTTAAGTCTTCACCAAATTTTAGCGTGTAGAGTTTGATCTCATCTTTTAGTTTATTGAAGCTATGTAGATCCGAGTCAACCATCCCAATCTTTGCACTCAAAAAACGCTTTAAATATTCGAGTTCTTTTATCCAACAAATAATATCAAATAAGCGATCTTACTAGTTGTTCTCATCCCTTATTTACTCTTCATAATTCTCTTCATATACCTGCTTCGCCATCTGGATATTTAAAGTGATCATATGCACACTTCACTTTTTATTACCTTGATGGTTATTCCAACTATTTTTGGAATCAGGAACTTAGTAGATAACCAGTTAGCGTTTAACACAGTAGGTGATAGGTTCTATTGTTATTGTGAAGGCAGGCTGTTGAACATAGATCAATCTTCCTCAGTATTCAGTCTTCAGTGATAATAATCTAAGCATTTCTTCGTCAAAATGCTGGAGAAAACCCATGAATAGCCCATAATATCCTGTAGTTTTTGGCAGAAACAACCTTGCAGTTACTTGTAGTTTTGAGGTCGCTGCTTATCGTGACTCCAAAGTCTTTATAGTCTATTACTTTGGGTAACGCAACTCCACGTATTATGTAGTGATATGGATCATCATAACTATTTAATTGCATCACCACTCTTGTTACAATTTACTTCTAGTGATCATCCACCCATCCATGCTACTAATGAGTAATCTTGTAATACTATTCTATCTGATATACTTTGTATGGATCTCCAAATCCTTATGTTATCGGCGAAGAATAGAACGGATGACTTTGATACAGTTGGTAATTTATTGACATAAAGTAAAAAGAGAAGAGGACCGAGGGTTGTACCTTGAGTAGCTCCACGTTTTACGGGTTTCCATGATGAGACAGCTCCATTTACACTTACTCTTTGTCTTCTGTTATTGAGAAAGCCACTTATCCAGTCTATGATCTTATAATGTATTTCAAAACTTTCCTGTTTTAATTTAAGACCTAAATGAGAGACCTTATCAGAGGCTTTACTCAGGTATATGAAAATCACATCTACAGGAATATTTCGATCTTTTGCTGTAGTCCAATCTTCTCTTGCAATAAACAGGTTTGTCAAGAATGATAGGCCCTTCCGAAAACCATGTTTTTCCCCGGATAAAAGATTATGCCCTTCACGTAGTTTATAACAGTCATCCGAATAATCTTTCCAATTAGTTTTACGAGTACACTAATTAGACTAACAGGTCGATAGTTACTAACTGAATCTTTACTCTCAGCATTATACACCTGACTAATTATCGCGTCTCTCCGGTCTCTTGGCAGTTTTAGCTGCCACAGAGACATATCAAAAAGCATGGTTATAGGTTCAGCAATTACATTCGATAGAGCCTTCATAATTCTAAGGTGAATATCGCCAGGACCACTGGACTTATGAAGTTTGAAATGCTGAAGTAGTCTTAAGACAACACCTTTCCCAATAACTACAGGATCCTCCAACAAGCCGCTCCAATCACAATTAATTGTTGGTCACTCCTCATTGCTAATAGAAAACACTTTGCCGAAATATTCCGATAAGGCTTCAGCCTTTTCGGCATCACCTCTTGCCAATATTAACTGATTTTCTGGTACCAAAGGTGATGGAATTCCGATTTCGCCCTTTTATATGGGAGAATAACGGTTTCGGACTATATTTAGAATTCCTAACCAATTGTTTTTCATATGATCGTCTAGTCTTGCTTATTAACGCTTCATAGGCATTCCTAATCTTACAATAACTGGATCTGTATTGTTCTAAGCCAGTAGAGATGAACATATTCCAATGCTTTTCCCTACGTCTGGTTATGGCAGTACTTAGACCTAGTTATTGACATCAAATGGTGACTTCATAACTAATAATAAATGTTTCCACGGTTGCTTCTTGAATCTGATTTAAGAACTAAATCTCAATAAGATTGTCCAATAACCAAAATCACTCGCTTGAAATACTTAACATTATTTCTGGTATGAATTACTTTTTCTTCTGTTAATAATGCTGTGAGTAAATACAAGTTCATTTCCATAGCTGGAAGCTTTTCCTACCAGTAATACAATGCTAGAAATGGCGAAAAGGTTGCGGCTAGAGCGAGAAAAGGAGACCAAAATATCTAAACAAATGAGAGAACAAAAGTCACTAGTGAGTTTTAATTACTGGTACAGTTTTTTACTGTAATAATTTTAAAATTGTCTCTATTAAATCAATATTCTTTGAGCATGCTGAATTCTTCAAGATGAACAGTTGCAAATCTTGTATTTTCCTTTCGGACGACATCATCAGTGTCAATGTCTAGTTGAAGCTTAGCATTCACCTAAACTACAAGTCACCTCTACCATATCAAGTCAGCCTTAATTGATGAAACAATAACTGCTTCCCTGATGATATATTAAAGTATTCTTATGAATTTCATCCAATACCACTTGAATTTTACATACTTACTTACTTACTAACTTGCTTAATTAATTAATTAATTGATTATGCCTGTTACTCCTCGTGAAGGAGCATAGGCCGCTCACCAGCACTCGCCATCCAACCCGGTCCTGGGCAATCCTTTCCAGCTCTTCCCAGTTGTTATTCATTTTTTCATGTCTGCTTATATTTCCCGACGTGATATGTTCTTTGGCCTTCCTCTTTTCCTCTTCCCTTCACGATTCCAAGTTAGGGCTGGGTGACATTTATTTGCTTCATTCTAAATAAAAATGTTCAAGATATGAAGAAAGGTAGATTTTGAGCGTTTTAGCTAATGGATTTGTTGATTTGATGAGACTATTAGAGTGACTGAAGTGGATAAACTGTTAATTTTGATCGGGGAATACATTTCCAAATATTAACCCTACAGGTTTTAGATAACAGTGTTAAAGCTTTTATTTGTTTGTTGTCTGTGGAAATTGAATTTACAATACGGCACTTCTGTATATTCTATCAGCTTAATGTGCTCAATTTTCACTTATTCTGAGCCATATTCTATTGGGTATTTGAATGCTGATTAATAATCTACTCCAATCTATCCATCAGTCTTAAGGATAACAACGATATAAAGAATAGTTTAATTGAAAAGTGATTCAGTGTAATGAAAACAAAAAGCAACTATTACTGTACTCAGAGACAAATCGAATTTGACAACTCATTCCCTTTGGATATATAACACTTTGGATTACCTAGAGAGTATCTTGAGGTTAAATTACTACTGTAGAAGTCCTTTACATTAAACTAGTCGAAAGTTAACGGGTATCAACTATATTACTGCCATATTCATATCAATTTATTTGTCTGTTACAATAACCATAATGATGGAATAAAAATGCGTGTGATTCGAAATATCTTCATTTCATGGAAATAAATTTGGTTACCGATAAAACTTATCGACTTCTGGCTGATTCAAAACTGCTGTGAAGTGAAATATGTGCAATCACGTGACAACAAACACCCTTATACGGTTGTTTAATCAGGAACTAGATATCGATGAGTAAATTCGTATTGAAACAGATATACACTCAGATGAACACATTGGCGGTATGAAATTATCATATTAAATATGAGGCACAAGGACGACGACTATTTCTACCAACCAACTAATCAAAATTTAGTCTGGAAAAATCAAATGTATGCTAGTGATACACAAATCATTTCTTAACCTGCATTGTAAACAATTGGGCTGGATCTTTATCAAATTTTCCAGGGCTATAGTTAAGAAGGAAGTTGTCAAATTTTCTCCAAACCGTCAAGAAAGCTCTTTTCCACTACCTAATTGCATCACTTCTCAACTCGAATTCAACTCAAACCGTTTCTGTCTTTCACTTTACTGTAACTTGTCAAGGATTATTCGAAAGATTGACATGACACAAACACATGGTGAGAAGTAAACAAAAAAATATTAGCGAAAGAAAACCACGTAATTATCAGAGCTCGTTCGTTAGTTCTGCCCGTGTCATTAATATTACTGTCAGATCTCAAATAGACTATAGCCTACCAGTATTTAGCGTACATCAGTTTATGTGCAACACTGAAACTTTGTATTTCCTACTACTTCATCCGGTTTTACAGTAAAATAAACTGAGAAATGTAGCATTGTGTTAATTGTGTCCCAAAAATTAAGTACAAAAGTCACAAAATTAATTTTATTGATCTACACTACTTACTATTTATATAAGTAACTACCAATAAATATTGTTTTTCTTATTAAATGAAAATAAATTAATTTGATAAGACTGTATAGTTTTTGAATCCATTTATCTAATATCATCCTTCTGCCCTTATTTCACAAAAACAACCAGATGAGGTCAATGAAGCGATATCTTTTAAATGTGTTCTATGCATTTCACTGAAATCATGAACTAATCAGTGTTAGACCACCATTGAAAACCCGGGATCACTGGATGGCTGTTTCGTCCTAATATGGGACTTCACAACAGTGCTGATTCATGAGCCGGCACTCGGGACTTGAACTCAGGACCAGCGACCCCACGCCAACGCTTAGCCTTTAGACTACTGAGCCAGTATGCAACGGTATTAAGATCTAACTCCAGTCAATCCGCGATATTGCTCAACTATTATCCATCGTCTCTGGTCGGTAATTGCTTCACACTCGACAAGGTTGAATACTGAAATTAAAAATATCTGGCTACAAAAATGCGTCTATTATCTCGACGTAAAATTAAATGTTTTCATAAAGATCTGCCTATTAGTAACCTGTATAATTTATATTTTCGTAATACGATACGATTTTAAGGGAACCATTAAAGAATCTATACTATCTACTTGTTTTTATCAGTCTACTAGTAGAATATTGCAAATTGTGCATGAATTGTTATTGTCTGATGACCAAACTAGAGTATGATAACATAGCGGAACACAATAAAAATGTTGACTGGTGTAGGAATAGGTTGGGAATGAAGAAGAAAAGATTGAATTAGGACGTTATCAGTTCATGAAATTATTGGCCGTTGGATTGAGACATATTAGTATGTTTAGATGACCTGATTGAAGTCCTATATGATCAGTTGTTGAAGACATTTACGGAACATAGTTCAGAATCGAAACCTCTTAATACTTTTTTCCACACCTATTCTTCTCTATTATTATTATTATTATTATTATTATTATTGTTATTATTATTATTATTTATATTATTATGATTATTACTGATTCTATTACTACCTTCAGAAATTTGAGATATGTCTTGATAATTTTATTTTGCTCTGTTAACGTGCTGTTCCAAACCAGACCGACGCATATATGTGTCAAGTCCAATGTCGCGAATGACTAAATGACTGATTCTCTGAATTCATCCTTTCTTTTTAAACCATATACTCTAATATCAAATCTTTATTCCTCCTACTGATACCACTATCATTTCAACTCTTTCCAAATCATTACAAGATATCCTCAGTGATGTATTGGTTATGCTATTTATTAATGCGTCAATACAAAGAATAAGTTACGTTGTTTTCCCATTTTCAAGTGTATTTACCTATTCAATTACCTCTGTAGTTGATCAGACATTTTCTAGTAGTATCTGTCTAGTGAAATATTGTTATTAAACTTTTATATTTTATTCGTAATTACCTTCAAGATTGCGAATACAGATCAACGTATTCAAATCACTCAACAACAACTGAAAGAATTAAGAAAAACTACAACTAATTCGACAGCAACAGGTAGGAATTTATGAAAATATGATACTATTTTTATTACATTCTGATAATTCAACTGTTTTGTACAAGATGATTCTTTCACATTCAATATACAAATAATGAAATTTACTGCTGTTAAGATCCTATGAGTGATTGTAGATCGGTAAAAGGTTTAAATGGAATAAACAAAACTTTAACAGGTTAAATGATAATGGTAATTGTTATTAGTGAGTAAATTTAGAAAATGTAAAAATATTGCAAGATATGCATTCTCAAATACAAAACTATGTAGAATAAGATTCATGATATCAGCATATTTAAGTTACGATAAAGACAGAATTCAGTTTCCATCTTATGGTTAGCTATCCATCTACAAATGGTTTAGGTAGTTGCTTTTGTTTAAACAGATTCAGTAAACAATTTTTGATTGAGATCATGAACTGATTGATGTTAGACCACCATTGAAAACCTGGAAGCACTGGACGGCCGTTTCGTCCTATTGTGGGACTCCTCAGCAGTGCGCATCCACGATCCCGCTCGCGGTCCAGTGCTTCCAGGTTTTCAATGGTGGTCTAATATCAATCGGTTCATGATCTCAATCAAAAACTTAACAATCTCCACAATCCCTAAACCGATAATTACCATGCGCTCATTAGTGACTAGCTTTGCGAGTAAATTCTCGGAGTTCTGGTGAGAAGCCGTGACCAGTGGAGCTAATCCGTGTCGGGTAGAAACAGGTGTCTACCTCAGTACAATGGGAGATGGTCGAGCAATTTCGTGTATTGGCTGAAGTTAGACATTAACACCATCTGATGCCGACTCAGTGGTTCAGTAGACTAAGCGTTTGCGCGCAAGACTGAATGCCCTAGGTTGGAATACTGCGAGTGAGATCGTGAATGCGCACTGCTGAGGAGTCACACAATAGGATGAAACGGCCGTCCAGTGCTTCCAGGTTTTCAATGGTGATCTTACATCAATCGGTTCATGATCTCAATAAAAAACTTAAGAATCTCCACAACCCCTAATCAGTAAACAATTGTAAGATCAATTTACCGTTTAGTTGATGAGTCAAATATTCAAGAACTATTGTGAACTCACATTTGTAAGAACAAGATGGATTTTTTTCACTTATACTTGTTGTAGTCAAACATTAATCATATATAATATACGTTATTCATCAGGAGTAAGTGAACTGGAAGGGTGAAAGCTTCACGACCAAACCATCCAGCTCAGAGAATAAAACTCCATCAAAAAGTGGCCGTACAAGAAAGCTTATCTTTCATGCATATGAAAAACAGATTTTAGTTTGCAATATTTTGTTGAGGCTTATCTGCGTTAAGTATTCTCTCAATTTTTTCAGACAGATAATTCTTAAGTACATCAGATAAATGATCACTTTTGAATTCCAAGACTAATCAAAATGCTTCTTAAAAACAAAATCTTTGAATTTTTTTAATTCCTAGTATCTCTCATATTTTTATCAAGGAAATGACTATCGTATTTATTTTTAGTTACTTTCAAATATCTGGGTGTTTATTCACAAAAGACACATTCAACACCTATAATCACTTAAGAAGATTTAAAACTTCAATGAATGATTGATCACAAATTGTCACATAATTTCTTCATAGAAAAGATCTGATATCTGGAGTATCCAACGTCCTATACTCATTTTTCTTCAACAACAATGTAATAAACCTGTACAAATCATATGGACATGATAAATGTTCACTTATCTATGTAAAATGAAATGTTTACTTCATTGTTTAATGATGAACTTACCTGCGAAGATAGTCAATATCATACGGAATTCCTACGATGGATTAAACTGCAAAATCGTGAGTGGAGGAAAATTAACAGACTCTTTCAAGATAAAGACCGGTGTTAGGCAAGGTCGCTTACTCTCAGCCCTTCTCTTTGTCCTGGTGATCGACTGGATCATGAAGACGTTAACATCTGAGGGGAAGCATGGGATACAATAAATAGCTAGGATGCAGTTGGACGATCTAGACGTCGCAGATGATCTGGCTCTTCTGTCGCACACGCAACAACTAATGCAGGAGAAGACGACCAGTGTAGCAGCAGCCTCAGCAGCAGCAACAGTAGGTCTCAACATACATAAAGGGAAAAGCAAGATTCTCCGATACAACACAGTATGCAACAATCCAATCACAGTTGACGGAGAAGATTTGGAAGATGTAAAATCGTTTACATATCTGAGCAGCATCATTGATGAACATGGTGGGTCTTATGCAGATGTGAAGGCGCCGATCCGAAAAGCAAGAAGAGCATATTTACAACTGAAGAACATCTACAACTCAGAATAACTGTGAACCAGCACGAAGGTCAGGATTTTCAATACATATGTCAAGACAGTTCTACTGTATTGGGCGGAAACCTGGAGAACTAGGAAAGCCATCATCCAGAAAATACAAGTGTTTATTAACAGTTGTCTACGTAAAATACTTTGGATCCATTGGTCAGACACTGTCAACAACAATCTGCTATGGGAGAGAATAAACGAGATTTCAGTGGAGGATGAAATCAATAAGAAATGCTGGAAGTGGATAGGACACACATTGAGGAAAGCACCGAACTGCGTCACAAGACAAGCCCTCACATGGAATCCTCAAGGTCAAAGGAAAAGAGAAAAACCAAAGAACACATTACGTCGAGAGATGGAAACAGACATGAGAAAAATATACAAAAATTGCATAGAACTGGAAGGGAAGGCCGAGGACAGAGTAGGCTGGAGAATGCTGGTCAGCGGCCTATACTCCATTGGGAGTAATAGGTGTAAATAATAATAATAAATTAGTAATGAACTTATCCAACATCAATTTTAAACTACATTTACATATATTGACCATAATTTGTTTTGTTTAATTCAAGTTTAGTAAACAAAATTGATTAGAATAATTAAGTTCAAAAGTTCACTTAGATGAAAACAAAACAAACAAACACAGAATTAATTTTATCTTGTTAGTTAACAAAATGAATAAATATGTAATATTAATGAATGGACAATGATGTATAGTACAATTCTGTATTTAATTAATTCCTTCTTTTTAGGTATCAATATCAAGGTTGAACTTGATAATTTCAAACAGATTGAACATTTGGTAGAGGAGAGTTAATCATAAATATACTACTTGTTATATTTCAATGAGTAGAAAAGATGTATTTCTGATGTTTCGTAACTTGATGTAAATCACTTCTCCAGAGTAAATAAATAACCGACAATTAGATTTGTAGTGAACGGAACACCAGTGGGGGCAATCGAATGTATCTGAGCACAAATTTTACAGAGCATCACACTAAAATCTGAGAATCATCTAGCAAAATATCAATTCATCGTCTCAAACTTCACTGTTCCTTTTGGAAATATCAGTTCAGTGTCTTAGATTTAATTGTTCATGCATTTTCATACCAATTACGTTCCATTCTAGTTCTTTCGTTATCGATCTTGCACTAAAATACATTCTATGCCCGACCACCGTTATATACTACTCAAGTGGATATAAGTAACTCACACCACACATGTTTAAATAGTAAAAAAAAGAAACAATACAGAATATTTTTGGTACAATCAAAATCATAATAGATCTGAATATGTCAATATTAAGTTATTCTTAATCAATATGAATTTGTGTGAGCTGTCACAGTGTATCAGAGTATTCTGTATCATTTCTTTGTATATTATTTTAAACGTATGCTAATTTAATTGTCGGTTATTTATTTACTCTGAAGAAGTGGTTCATATTAAGTCACGAAACATCAGAAATACAATATTTCTATTCATTGGCGCAACTTCGTGGATTGGTTGACGTTAGACATTAACACCGTTGGATGTCAGCTCAGTGGTCTAGTTGGTTAGGCGCCTATCGCGAGACTGATAGGTCCTGGGTTTGAATCTCGCGGAGTGCGGGATCATGGATGGACGCTGCTGAGAAGTCCCGTACTGGGAAGAAACGGCCATCCAGTACTTTCAGGTTTTCCATGGTATTCTAGCTTCAAATGACTCATGATTTCAGTCAGTGAAATTTCTAAAATCTCTACAAACCCCTTCTGATCATTGTGCTTTAACAAAAACACATATTAATTATTAATTCCTTCTTTCTTTTTTATTATTAACGATTACTGTTCGTTATGTGTGGAAATGAATATTACTAATTTATATTTAGTATTTTTGGTTTGTAATGTAATAAACGAATGTAGTTGATCTGATACTGATCATAATAGTTTTACATAAGTAGACAGTTTATCATGTTTTTGTGTGTGGGCGGAGATACTGCCCGGGTGCCCAAACCGAAGCAGGTGGTTTTATCAGGGGTCCACACCCCATGCCTTCGACCTAAAGGTCTGACCCACAAGGCAGTGGAGCATCGTGAGGAGATGCAGTCCCATGGTAGCCGGTGACCAACGATTGGTTCATACGCCATTTGTTCCCGCAGGATACTGGAGCCCATGTGCACCATTGGTTTGGAATCCGGTTAAAGCGCCGGACATTCGATTTTCGTCCTCTCAATTTCGTAGACAACACCCCCGTCACGAGAAGGCAGTGAGTAGGACTTCCCTGGCAGAGGCTGTATACGCGTGGCCGTGTGAGAGTATTTCGAGTGGGAGGGCAAACCCGCCCCGCTCTCGGCCATACCAGGGCATTTATAAGCTTGTTAGTATAGACTTCAAATAGAATGAAACATTTTAGAATTTATTAATAATTGCCAAAATCAATCAATTTTAATGACTTTGTTTATGATTAGTTATTAGCAAAAAATGTTTGTATTTTTATTGATTAATTTTCTTTCATTGATCTGTGATCATGTGATTGTATGATCTTTGCATCCATAAGTTGGTAGATCACTTTTTATGCTGATCTTTTAGTTAACTGTCAATTCATCTGAGTGTCTAGAATATTTTGAATTACCATAATGCTAATTTATTATTACAACTTCAATCTACTGGTAAGACTATAATTTATGGATGACCTTTGAGCCACGCTAGACTGGTCTTGAGAGTGTCCACCTAATAACTAGGACTAAATGAGGGTTATAAAACCATTTGAGGAATTCGAATTATGATTTACAGTTGATGGTTTAGGTTAAGAATTACATTTAGGGTTTTCATCATGAACTGACATAAGCTATAATGTCAAGACTCTATTTAGCCAAATCAATGAGTGAATTTCATGCCAAAATTTGAGACCTGTTATCTTATACCTGATTGGTTCGTCCATAAATTATAGTCTAGACCAAATGTATTTAACATAATGGTAGATGAGAACACTAATGCACTTAACGACAACACAGTATCTGAAAGCAACCAATCACACACAAGGTTATCATTTGTTAAATAATATCGAATTACTCATTTCCCTGTGATATAACTGTTAACGATGCTGTTTCAAATGAAAATGAAAGCTTTACAATCAGATCATTCATCAGGGCTACACAATTTCGATTACTTTTTGTTATTCTGAACATACAGTACTCTGAATACCACTCTTATTTATATTAACTTCAATCTAAACTAATTTCTTTTTGCTTGATTTATTAATTTCTTATATCAAGTAAATATCATCCTGCATTGTCTTATTCCTGGTTTTACTAAGAATGAGGTCATTCTAGAGAATTCTGAATAGTTAACAATTGCCGAAATTGTGTGATTTTGTACTTTCATGTTATTAGATTTGTAGTAAATAAAGTTACATGAAATACAACTTCAAAAGTGTAAATGCCTATAACTATATTTCCGAGACATTTACGTACAGTATGTATATCATCATAGTTCATTTAGAAAATTACAGTAGATATGACTTATCTAACAAAAAAAATCCAGTCACTCAAATTTAAGTCATCCATTTATATACGCTGAGGTAAATAATGGAACACAAGTACTAAAAGTAATACTATCTACGAAGGAGCATATTTTTGTATACGTATCATAATAAGTAAATTGTGGACTAATTTTTCAGTAGATAATTTCAAAGTTGCATAACTGAATATCACTAATATTTAATGTTGCAGTAAACATTTTGCCTAAGTTAATTTGATAAAAGTTCCATTATCTAAATGAGTTATCTACGAAGATTATTGATCTTACTTGTACTATGACGTTAATAAGCCGCTTTATGTGTACGAATTCAATAGTGTATACACAATTCATTACTGAAATACAACGTGATATATTCTTTTTCACGTCACTTTACAAAGATACTGATATATTCCCATGAGAATAATGAATAGTAACTGTTGTAATCTATTTTTGAACTAATACTATACATATATTTTTATCGTGTAATTTTTAAGTAACTAAACTATGCATAGTCATGTTCCTCTTATTATAAGCTTTATTTTGACTCATAGACTATTATGATATGATTCACCGTTCTTAAGTTATGTCTATTATGTCTATTCATTACAGTCTCCCACATTCACAGCCACTTTGGGCAAGATCTTGTACAAATGTTATTTTATATTTTATGGTTTGATGTGGCCTGTTTTGTTTGTATATAAACCCAGTATGCTTGAAATACATGATTCATATCGCGGAGGCTGAGATTTGGGTTCGGAACTCAACAGGTAGGGCTAGACAGGAATAACGACTGATAAGGACTCTAGACTGCTCGTACGGGTTTAGACATCATTGGTTCGTCGGTAAATCACTGTTCTCTAATTGGCGATATCATTGCGTTATATATTAATAGGGCATAAGGCAATAAGTTAAAACAGATTCCTGTTCTATGAACCGGTCAAACGAAGAGAAAGGAAATAAGATATATATGAAATCACTTAAAATAATGCTTAATAGTGGCAAGCAAATTTTTGTGGTATATATAAATCATGCATACAGAAATGTAATGGTCATACAATATCATTGGAATATCACGTCATTTTTTTAAGTAATAATTATGGATTTCCACTTTTCTGAAATTATTCATTTAGCTGAACAGTTCAAAATAAAAATGAACTTGTTTTTTTTGTGTGTGTGTTTCATTTTGATTAACTTACGGTATTCTTGAAGAATATAAATAACGAAGATTATTATTGGAATATCACGTTTCAGAAGGAGTTTTGTGGATATTATAGTAATTTTAATAGTTGAGATTATGAGTCAATGGGACGAAACGGTCTTCCAGTGCTTCCAAGTTTTCCATAGTGCTCTAGCTTCAACTGACTCTAAACTATTGAAATTACTATAATATCCACAAAAACACCTTATGATACTGATCAATATATGCTCACTAGTGACTGGCTTCAAGAGGGATTTCCTAGAATTCTAGTGGGAAGCAGTGAACAATGGAGATCGACCGGACCACTGAAGACAATGGTGGATGCGTCGCTCAATTTCGTGGATTAATTGAAGTTGGACATTAACACCGTTGGATACCGGATTAGTGGTCTAGAAGTTAAACGTTCGCTCTCGAGACTGATAGGTCCTGTGTTCGAGTCCCAAGTGGCGGGATTGTCGGTGCGCACTGCTGAGGAGTCCCATACTAGGACGAATCGACCGTCCAGTACTTCCAGGTTTTCCATGGTGGTCTAACTCATGATCTCAATTATTAAAATTAGAATGTCACGTTATTTATTTAATAAATAATAAAGTATAGATTTTCAATTTTCCTCTATAAAATATTCATTTGTTTTAGCTAGAAAAAGCATTTAACACATGTACTTCACTTTTTTTTTGTTTGTTTATTTGTTATTTACATTATTTAAGTTCCTTTCCTTCTCAACTATTTTTGTATAAATCATTTAGCATTAATACAACGTGTTGAGGAAGAAACAAAAGTTAATCAATATATGCTATCTGAAAAATTGCCTAAAGAATTATTAAATATAAAGACCTATATTGAAAATGTAACAAAAGTTGTTTCACAACCAGCTATGAATCAATCTTTTCTTGATCAACTTAATCAACAAGTAATTATTGTGATTATATATCATTTTTGTATTGCTTTTCTTGAATCTTTCTATTGATGTTTAAGATTGTAGTCGACCAATCTCATATTGGCATATGTGTATTCTGTGCGGATTGTTTCGATATTGTTCTAAATCACAAGCATTATAAGTAAAGATGGATGGTGGCTAAGAGTAGAATCCAGGTTGCACGTTTTGTCCTTTTTCCGATTCGTCAGCTGGGTGTACCTGAATCTCAGAGTTGATGTTCATTCCAGGACTTGAACTCAATAGAATTTACTTCGAACGTCATCACGTTGTCCACTTAGCTGATGAGTCCAGATAACTCTGCGATTCAGGTACATCTAGCTGACAAGTCCCAAGTAGGACGAAATGCATGTCATGGATTCCACTGCTAGACACTATTCAAATATTGTCATCGTTTTGTTGTTTAATTCTAAAAGCCGTAACAGATTTCAAATTTTCATAAAGCAAAAATAATCAAATATTGTAGGCTAAAACAAATGAATTTCATTTTGTATGCTTTAAATCTTACACATATTCACTGATTTATCTGATTAAAAATGTTGCTTTACGAATGTCATTTTGGAGTGTAACCAACGTGTATAATGTGATTTGATTCATTGGTTAAAAGAATAAGTTGAATGTACAAAACGAGAGCTTTCTAAACTCATTTCTGAACATTATACTATGTGGCTTGTGGTGGTTGGTATTTGATATAATCCATAAACTTCGTATACAGCTCGTCTTGATAACCGTTCTATATAACGTCACAACGGTATATTAATCAGAAGGCAAATACGAAGCGTTGATTACGTTTATTACGAGACCACACACATATATCCAAATGTACAGATGCGTTAAACAAGCATAGAAGAGTTGTGCCGAAAGGCAAGCAAGCGAGCGAGAGCAAGAGCAAGAGCGAGACGAGAGTGTGTGTGTTGAATATAAATAACATGGACATATATATACCATGTGAAATGAATGAGTAATCGAATCAAATAAGCGGTTAGTAGTAAGACTAGCAGAGTGAATAAATGCGTAGGCCGTAAGCAATATTCAAGCATATGTATTTCATACAAGCACAAAATAAGAGTACAATAAGTTGTTATATTGTGGATGACTTTGTCCGCTAAATGAGTTAGCAAAAGAGCTTAACTGAATTAAATGAAAATAAACTCAATTGTACGTGAGTCACTATAGGCTTTCGAAAAGCGTATCTAAACCAATCAATGGTTTAACTTTGGTATTTCATGTTAACTCTGATCCCTTGGCCTCACTAGAGACATCCTTCAAAATTATCTATGCAATTAAACGATTTGATTTGAGAGAATCATGAACTAATCAATTGTACACTCTAGAGGTGTATTTTCAAATCTGAGCTATAAGCGTAACAGCGATAAGGTGCAAGCCATTATTCTGCCATTCCCCTTATCCAGTAACTTGGTCGTTCAGAGATCCTTCTGATGTTTTCAATTTCATTTGTTCGTTATCATTGTTTTCTTATTTTCAATCTATTCTTCATCTTTCTTATATACGTCAAGTTGACTACTAACATTCGTACATTTGATTTCATCTTATTATTTCCCATTAAACCCTCGATTGTTACGTAATTTTATTTAGACACCCGAAGTGATGTAATCCTCCTTCAATTTTTAAATACACTACTTTATTTATTAATTAGCCATAAATATGACTATATAACTTGAGTGAATAACATCATTGGGAGGAAAATTTTCCCCGCTATAGTATATTTAATTCTTGTTCAATGACATCATGAATTACTTTAGTCAATTATAACTACGTTCCTTAAACATAGAAGATCAATATATATAGGTAAACAGATTAAGCGCATATGTGCAAGAAAGAAATCATGATGCGAACATGTGCAGCAAATATGTGAAAATTGCTTACATGAAATAAAGTTGAAATGATTTTATAGATGTTACACACAAAATGGAATGAATTCAATTCATTCATTCTTGTCTTATAAACATTTATCACAGGAACTAACTGGATGAAATTGCAAATTGTTGATCCTATGAATAATCTAAATATCGAAGTCTAAACATTTATCCAATGTTTTTTAACAAGTGATAATACTTGATACTAGTAGGAGTCTCAGCGATTAATACATATTGTTTGGATGTTTATACTAACCCCTTAATGTGTTACAAATAGAAAAGTTGAACTTAGAATAGAAGGAACCTGACATTTGCATGATACATGGTAGAACATTAAAACTAATAGTAACTCACTGATGACAATGGTGGACGGTGGCGCAATTTCGTGGATTAGTTGAAGTTAGACATTAACACCGTTGGATGTAGGCCAGCTCAGTGGTCTAGTTGGTTAAGCTCCTGGTGCGAGACTGATAGGTCCTGGGTTCGAATCTCGTGAGGTGGGGTTGTGGATGCGAACTGCTGAGAAGTCCCACAATAGGAAGAAACGGCTGTCCAGTGCTCCCAGGTTTTCCATGGTGTTCTAGCTTCAATTGACTCATTATCTCAACTATTGAAATTACTAAAATCTCCACAAAACCCCTTCTGATACTAAGCAGATAAAGACTTTATTTACACTCCGAAAAACATAAAAAATACTTATGAATCAACTTCATTAATTCACATACAGATTTAACTTATATTTCATATGCATATACAAATTGAGCTACATCTGTGGCGTACTATCATTCAACTAAACCAAAAAATGAGTGAACACTCCTCTATATGGTTTGGTAAGAGTCAGACGAAGACAATACGTGGCTCCACTTTACCAAAATTGATTACTTTGGTTGTATGATAGGTAAAAACAAATTATTTAGAATGACCTATCATACAGTTTAGTCGTTTCTTAACAAGTTCGGCCTCACCTCCTAATCCAGTTCATTGTTATCAATGACTCACAAAATACCTTGATTAATTTAGTATATCTCTAATGTATTCGTATAATATTACTGTATATTAGAGTAAAGCCTGGAGATCTAATTGAAAACAATATTATTTACTTATTTATTGTTATGATTATTCAGTAAATATAACATATACTTGTTAGAATAGGAATATAGAATGGACCTCAAACTGAAATAATACAAACAAATGCTAAATGGTCACAATGGACGCAATTCACAATCAATTAATATGAAAAAAGGGTATATGGCACAAATATCACACAAAATTATAAATAAAACGAATTATCACCTTTAAAGTTATACAGAATCTAGTGTTTTATACCATCTTAACAAAACTATGTTCAGATTTTGTTTCTTCCAAAATTTACAAAGGATCTTGTGATTAATTGAGATCATGAACTGATCAATGTTAGACCACCATTAAAAACCTAGAAGTACTGGAAGCACTAATGACTAGCTTCAAGATGGATTTCCTGGAGTTCTAGTGTAAAGTCATGACTGGTGGAGTCCATCAGTGTCTGTTTTGATGCAGTTTTTCACTGATGACAATGGAAGAGCCACGCGATATCGCGGAATGATTGAAGTTGGACAATAATACCGTTCGATACCCGCTCAGTGGTTTAGAGATTAAGCGTTAGCGTGAGGCCGAAGGTCGTGCGTTTGATTCCAAAATGTGTGATCGTGAACACGCAATGCTGAAGAGTCCCCTATCAGGACGAAACGGCCATTTAGTGCTTCTAGGTTTTCAATGGTTGTCTAACATTGATCTGTTCATGATGCCAATTAAAAAATTAGCAATCTCCTGTACCGATTTCGTCATTACTATCGAGCAATTAGTACTTACATATGTTCTACGCGACTAAGACTTGTAAACGAAAAAAGATCTTCAGTATCTCGTCAACCTTTCAATAAGCGATGAAAATTTATTGTTTGTTGCTTATCAAAACAAGCAAAATCAGTGTAAAGTAACAACCTGCTTGGACAATCCTGATATTATTGGTTGTTTGTATCTTGCCACTGATGTTTAGGACTGAGATTGATCAATCTCTTTTGGTGTATGTGCAAGCTGTGAGGATTTCCTTGATTTTGTCATTAAGTCACAAGCAGTTTAAGCGAAGGCCGTAGATACAAACAACCAATTTATACTAACTAAAGTTCACCCTGTCGCGCAAGTCAGTGGCCATCTGGACTCAGTAGCTATAACGTCTGAGGTGAATAGTAGTTAATTCCAGTCCCGAAAGGGACATCAACTCTGGGATAGAACTACATCCAGCTAACGTATCCTAAGTAGGACAAAACTCGCATCCTGGATTTCACTGCTACCCACTATCCATCTATGCTTAATATGTTTGCATAATAAATGAAATATATAAGATTTGTCGCACTTTTGTAAACTGCTTAGTTTATGATTATTTGGAAATGATCAAATAACTGATGATCTCAATGTCAACTGTTTCAATTGCATTTCATCATGTTGTTACCGAAATTCATCAAAACGTTCTTGACAGATATCGTCTGAGAGATGTGAAATTCTTACGAAAACTTACATTGACTCTAGTTATATTTCAGTCAGTTAATTATATATTTATTACTGGTTGACAATGTACAGTAGTTTCATACATTTTTCTTAATCTTAATTGATAATTTTTGAATAGATATTATTCTTTTCCTTTCAAATGACACTTCCCTTTTTTCAATAGTTGAAACCATGAGTCAATTGAAGTTAGACCACCATGAAAAACCTGGAAGTACTGGACGGCGGTTTCTTCCTAGTGTGGGACTTTTCAGCAGTGCGCATCTACGATATCAGCTCACTGAAGACAATGGTGGACGGTGGCACGATTTCGTGGATTGGTTGAAGGTAAACATTAACACCGTTGGATGTCGGCTCAGTGGTCTAGAAGTTAAACGTTCACTCTCGAGACTGATAGGTCCTGTGATTCGAATCCTACGAGGCGAGATCGTGGATGCGCATTGCTGAGGAGTCCCACAATAGGACGAAACGGCTGACCAGTGCTTCCAGGTTTTCTATGGTGATCTACCTTCGATTGACTCATGATTTCAACTATTGAAATTACTACGATCTTTACAAAAC